GAGAGTTAGTTGGCATGTAGTTGCAAAGTTGCTTATAGTCGATTGATTAAGGGGACCATCAAAATAAAATGTAACGATATAAAACATTGCATTTTTTCAGTTGGAGTATAAAGCTCACATCAATTAATTAAGATTAGCTCCACAGGAAACACTCAACATCTAACCACTCACAAGCTGTAGTAAGATACTGTGCAGATCTTAAATAAACAATGTCAAGATATGATACAGTCCATTATTCTGAAAATGAAGTAGATTTAATATGGTGTTCATTGTGTGTTATAAATAATCATACTCTTAAACTTATAACCACAAATACGTAAGTATTATGATGTATTATAACTGTATTATAACTGTTGTTATGATTATTCATGAGTTGATATAACATATTATAAGTTTTTTTTATAATGCATTATGCATTCATTATAATGCCTTAAGAATACCCTTATAATGTATTATAAATACGGGCTTCATAGAAAGTGTAACCAAAAAATTCTTAATGACCCCAGACATTTCAATAATAGTGTACATTTTTCACTAGTCATGTCAAAAAAAAAGAGAAACAAAAAAAAAGTTTAAGCACAGTGGATGATTGACAAGCAAGTATGGTACTTTGATGCATCAGGACGTATTAGCCTTTACACGATAAATGTTTTGAAACAATATGAAGTTGAGAACATTAATAGTCCTTCATAACTAAAATAATAATAATAATAATAATAAATTTAAAGCTTTGGTTCATTTTCAAGTTATTTTAAGGGGAAAATCTTAATTTACCATTTGTAAAACTCATGAAATGGATTTACAAAATAAACAGTCCTATTTTAATGGAATGAACCAGCCAAATCCTTCATACCGGTTCCCCGTCCCTCTGGTTCGGCGGCCTCCCCGACGTTCAGCTCCTCGATCTGTGGATCTCCGTGTTCTCTCCGAGAAACTCTGCCATGGTAAAGATTAATTACTTACTCTCTTTGCCTTTTGGCTTGAGAGAGCTCCACACAAAGGAACAGTCAAAGACAAATGTACCTTGTCAGCTGCATGTTATACAACATGTCTCAAAGGAGATATTAATTTACAGCCTCATGAAACCCCCGCAATATTGATTCAGTTAAAACATTTCTAGGGCTGGAAGATCATACTTTATATTTTGATGACTAATAATGCTAACTAAAAGGTTTCTTTATATTAAAAGCTTAAATCTTTGCTTTCTGAGAACCGAGGTCCAGACTGTTTGAGTATGGGATTAGAAACTAATTTGAAACAATGTTCTGTTTAATGCTACATCCAGTCTTCTCATTAGAAAGCCATCGTGTAACGGGTGAGGTCGGATGTTGGGGGAATTTCCCATCAGGTAGAGTTGTGGTTGGACTGGGTTTGTTTGTGGTCTGGCAGTTGGACTTGCTGGCTTGTCGTGCCGCCTGGGCTTACCATCAAATCCCCAAAATAGAGAGAGAGTTTCCATAATTATTTCCTACCTTACAATGTAAATGTTAAAGAAATAACTCTGTTACATAATGATAATGCAGGTCATTTTGATCAAGTAGGCAATTGTATAAATGTATACAAATATCCAAGACAGGTTACTGTACATTCATTGTTACATTCATTTTTTAATTGTTATTATTTTAAATAAAACAATAGTATTTGTTTATATCCTATCAGAAAGTTGTTGTTATTTTCCATACAATGGAAGGGAAGAGTGACCAGCAGTTTTTATTGGTAACTAAAACTATAAGAATTGTTTACGTCATTAAAATTAAAGCTGAAATAAAATAAAATAAAATAAAATATGAATATTAGACTTTAAAAAAACTTAAATGAAAATTATAAATGAACTAATTGTATAAAATAAGCAAAATTAAAATAATTTATAAAACTAAAAATGGAAATGAAAATCAACTCAAGCTAAATAGAAATATTACGAAAAATACAAATTAAAAAAGCACAAAACAAAATGACTAAAATTCAAATAAAATATACATTTAAAAGCTAAAGCTTAATTAAAATAAAAGCAAAATATTATTAAGTACTATATAAAAAAAATGAAAAATCAGTGTGAACATCCTGCTAAATATCTCCTTTATGTGTTCTGCACCACTCTAAGACGTAGCTTATGCATATCAGTAGAGTACACACCTGAACAGTCTGTTGGCTGATGGTCCTCTGTAGGCAATGTTGTTGAAAAAAACCTCCAGTTCATTGTCATTATCAAAGTCAGCTGTGATGACAGTGCGAACAGGAGATGGCATGGAAAACTTCTGTGTGGCGATGTCCTGGTACAGAGAATATCAGCACATCAAAATTTGAAACACCACAGTGTTGACATACTTTACACTTGGGAAAATCACCTGAAGAACGTCTTCCTTATAATTCAGTTGTTTCTACAGATTAAACTGGGACAGGAAAGTATTTTTTCCTTCGCTGACAGGAGAGCATCAGCTTCAAGATTTGGAGAGTCAAATGTATGATATTTATGACATAAAGATCTAAGCTGCAGGTAAATCACAGTCTAAAAACTTCAGGGAGTGGGAGCAGAGAAAAGTAACTGCTATCATCGCGCTTCAATAGTGCAGCAACGAGTCATGGAAGAGTTATTGAGCATGCCGGCACTCTCTCAAGTATTAACCCCAATTTTAATTATAGGGCTCATAAAACCTGCAGGTGAAAGCCCATGAAGTGACCTTCTGCTGTCTGGTTGAAGGAGAGGTGATGGCCATCTCTGGACAGGAACCAGCAGAGGAGGTACAGCTGAGCATGAGACAATACTGAGCATCTCAGATAGATCTCAGATACAGTAGATGGAAAGATGAGTGTATAGACAGACAGAACGAACGAACGAACGATAGATAGATAGATGGATAGATGGATAGATGGATAGATAGATAGATGTACCATAGAACGATAAACAAAGCGACAGATAGATAGATACATAGATAGATAGATAGATAGACAGATAGACAGAAGACGGACAGATACATAGATGAATGATAGATAGATAGATAGATAGATAGATAGATAGATAGATGAACTTATTATGACTCACACATGATCTTCCACTATAGCTGGTGTGCTTGTTCAGCCAAAGTTTAATTAATGCACGGAATAACAGAGCATCTTAATCACAATGCAATTATACATGGCAAAGGTCACAATGTCCTACGCTAATGCACAAATCCTTCTGTAAGGTCTCCCATGAGACATTAACCCAACAATTGACCCCCATAAAACAGCTTCCTGCTGACATTTATCTCTGTGCTAAAGAAGCCAATCACTGCCGCTAACACTGGGATCAAGCTAAAGCTGAGAAAGACCTACACACACAGCGCCGATCCATCCATACCAAACACAATTACCTGACACACTCGGGAGATACAGATCCAAAGGTTCATGACAAACTACTGCTGGAAAATAAATAGATAATATTTTGGGTACATTACTTCTTTAATTATTATTATATATTTAAGGACAGGTTTGCTTACATAGCCTAATTAAATCATTAGTTCAAGATTAGCAGACTTACAAATTCTGACTGACCCCACAGGACAAATGTGCTTAAAGAGAGCTGATAGAGGTTCTTTAAGACTTACGCATTTCAGAGTTTTATCTTGAGAAAAATACCCAAGTGATCTCATATGTGTCTCATCTAGAGTTTCAGAAGAAATCACAATGTTCTTAGGTTTGCCAACAAAATCTGGCATTACAAGACATTTCAAATTTCATTATGAACTTAAATAATTTTCATCAAATTATTCAAAGTTCAAATGTAATCTAAGCTATATAAATTCTTTGTTATATGTCTGCCATAACATAGATTTTGCCACTGTTTTATAGAAGCTGTGGTAAAATCACTATAAAGCACAGCCTCTTGTAGCTTATATTGTTTTATTTTACTGTACCATAAAGAAGTTAACAAATATCAGCCACATACAGTACTACACTACTGTTTAGGGTCTGTTCATTTTTTTTTCCTAGCTGCATTTAATTAATTAAAATACAATAAAACAACATTGAAAACAGTTATGCTACTTATTATTTTTGTGAAAAACCATGACATACTTTTTTCAGGATACTTTCATAAATTGAAATCTCAACAGAACACCATTTATTTGAAATAGAAATGATAAAAGTCTTCATCGCCACTTTTGATCAAATTAGCGCATCCTTTCTGAAATAATGTATTAATTTCTTTAAAAAGAAAATCTATACTGATCCCAAACTTTTGAAAAGTAGGTTATGCGAAAAAAAAAAAAAAAAAACATTTCTCACAACATTCAGACTTGATTCAGTCAAGCTATCAGCAGATTTATAAAACTTCCTGTGTAAGTCTCAGAAAAATAAAGAGGTTCTTCGATTTTACTGTGACTAATTACAATCACTGTGCTTTACCAGATAAAACGAGAGCCAGGTCGCTGCGCAAACAATAGAACAATGATTAGAGAATAATTGAATACTCTAATCAGACAGCAGATGGTATTATTTTATCCTCTGTCTTCTCTCAGAAGGATTTAATTATACAGATCAAAATGTAGGGATCATGTTTTGTTCTACATAACAAAGATGAAACCTACCATTCAGTATATTCACATCTAATTAAAAAAACAACAACAACTAGATTTGCATTTCCACCAGTGTTTTGAAGGCAGCTAAGTAACTGTGTTACAGTTTCTGGCCTGGCAAGCACTGCAGTAAACCCTTTTTGCTTCCATTACAGCTAAAATAATATGAAAATAGTTATTTTAAAACCTGCACCTTAAACCTTTGCTTGCGATTATTGCTGAGTTGTAGGAACAGACGATGCGGCCCATTCCAGTTTCCATAGACAATGTCAGTCTTCCCATCCCGATTAAAATCTGCTAACGCCACTCCACGGCCATGCTGCATCGGGTCATCAACCCCTGCGACAACAAATACAAATATTTCATTGCATGTTTACTGTGAAAGGCTAACAAACTTACCTTTCAAAAATAAAATCAGCAGAAAAAAGAAAGGAGCCAGCTCTTGCTTACCCACTTGTGCTGCCACATCTGTAAATGTACCGTCTCCGTTGTTGCGAAACAGGAAGTTAGGGCTGTACTCATTGTCACAGAAAATATCAGGTAGGGTCTGACTGAGGATGGGACCGACCACGACCCCCCGTCCCCCTGTAACACACAGCAGAGACGGCCATCATCACCAAACGCACAGAAGAAATCGTTAGTGGCTTTCCAGCTCATTTCCCCAGCAGCAGCTGCTTTTGCTGACACAGACTCTGACTGCCCATAATCGCATTACAGGGAGTGTGAACATGTGCATTTAACCAGCTTTACATCCACACATCTTACCCGGCAATCACTATTCTACAGCTCTGACCTCTAGTTGAATCACAGCAGCAAGTAATTCTTTCTTTTGTACAGCGCTTTTCACAATGAACAATGTTTCGAAGCAGCTTTAAAGAAAATTGTGCTTTTATTTCTTAAAGCCCAGCAGGACCAGGCTTTTCTTAATGCTAAATATGAGCATGCAAGACATTTGAACAGAAATCTGGGAGAGGGATCAACTTTAAAAAATAATAATAATAATAATAAAAAATAATAATAAAAATAAAATAAAATAAAATAAAATTCTGACCTACAAAATAAAGAAAATAAAAAAATTGAACCATTCCATGTTTTGTGTCATTTGAACATGTGATAATATGTGAATAATGTAAACAATATGAAAGAAATATGAAATATGTGAATAAAATCATAAAATAAATAAAAAATATTTGATAATATGCATTTATAATATAAATGAAATAAAACATACTGTAGTTGAAACCATTCCATGTTTTGTGCCATTTGTACATGCAATAATTTGTGAATAATGTAAATAAAATGTGAAATATGAAATATTTGAAGTGAATAAATAAAATAAAACTGCATGTATAACATAAATCAAATAAAACATGTTGTTGAAATCATTCCATGATTGTGTCATTTAAACATGTGATAATATGTGAAAAATGTGAATAAAATATATGAAATGTGAAAAATAAAATAAAATAAAATAAAATATGCATTGGTAAAAAAGAAACAAACATACTGTGTTTAAAATAATTCCATGTTTTGTGTCATTCAAACAATAAAAAAGTTAATAAAATACAAACATAATAAAATATAAAATAAAATAAGATGTAAAATGAAATTAAACATGTTGTTGAAACCATTCAATGTTTTATCATTTAAATGCGTGATAATATGTGAATAATATGAATGAAATATTAAATATGTGAATAAAATTTAATTTAATTTAATTTAATTTAGTTTACATATTGTGGTTGAACCCGTTCCATGTTTTGTGTCATTCAAATGTGAAATCTGCCAAGACATTGACAGAATCCCCCATAGTGAGGCGAGAATATCACAAAAGCTTAATTTTGTTGCTTTCCCTTCTGAGACTGTCCTGCTCGAACCCTTCTCAAGAGTGCTCTCCGAAACCGCTCTGAACGGTGGTCCAAAGCCCTGCTCTCCCCGTAGTGATTAATGGAATGGCTGCTTCATTGAATAAGTCAGAGCTGAAATACGGCTCACTTGTCCTTGTGCCTTCACATGACTTTCAGTGCAGTACACTATTAAAAATAAAGGTGCTTCACGATGCCATAGAAGAACCTTTTTGTCTAAATGGTTCCATAAAGAACCTTTAACATCTGAAGAACCTTTCTGTTTCACAAAAGGTTCTTTGTGGCGAAATAAGGTTCTTCAGATTACAAAAACGCAAGAAAGAGATGGTTCTTTAAAGAACCTTTGACTGAATGGTTCTTTGTGGAACCAAAAATGGTTCTTCTATGGCATCGCTTGAAGAACCTTTTGAAGCACCTTTATTTTTAAGAGTGTAAACAGCTGAGTGGGCCAAAACCTCCATCTCTTTATTCAGCGCTGCCTTCCAGGGCCCTGTTCTCTCTATTATTGGCTGCTTTAGCTGATAAACACTGTCTATAACATAGTGATTCAAAGCTGATATGAGCACTGAGCTCTACTGTAAATCAGCCACAAGGCAAAAAACCTGGATCCTACAGCTCATGGCCGTTAAAGAGTCTTGGGTAATATATTCACTGACATCATCGCACACTTACACACTCCCGCTCACGCATTCATAAAAAAGCAGACACGCACCTGTGAACTTGTTGACTCCGGCCTGCTCAGCCACGTTTGAAAGTGCAATGATTCCCTTGGAAGGGTCACTTGAGCTTTCATCCATTTCAATCAGAGCATGTGGACCTACAGTTCCGCTGGCATAATTGGCAATGTAGATGGAATAACGGCCTGTTCCCTAACAAAAAAAAAGAAAGATAAAAACATGTTGAGTGTATAGTGATAACTAATAATGTTTCATCTCATAAACAATTAAAAAAAAAACTTTAAAAAAAATTCTCACAATTCTAAATAAAGCAAACACCCAATATACTTATTTTTCTTTGCTTCTATACTTCACACTTTTCACATTTATTTTGTAATTTTTTGGATTAAATTATTATCATGTTTTATGTTGTTGCAGAATGGTTAAGACTGAAATAAAATAAAATAAAATAAAATAAAATAAATGTCTTTCCAAGGCTAATTTCATTTATACTACACAAAGTATTAAATAATATTTTCATACTTTTTGCATAAATTTACAGCTCGATTCACAAAATTGCAGCTTGATTGACATTGAAATACAAAATGATTTTGTTCATAGGTGACACTTTGTTTTATTGTGATTTACAAACATTACACACCACATATTTCGTCTCAAAAATGCTCTTCTTCACTGACACTGCTGTCTCCTTAGTAAACAAGTACACTAACTTTATTAGGGGCCATAAAGAATAAAACTCAATTAGGGGCAAAATCGTTAGTTGCAGTGGCGTGTAATTTTTGGAAAATCTAATATACTGTAACTCATTTTCTCACAGTAAAGATTTGTAAAACATAGCAAAAAAAAAAACATGTATGTGATCTTCATATAACATAAGAGAAATAAGTTGAGACACTCATCCACATACAGTTGCATACACACGCACACACACATACTCTTACACACCACACACATATTTCAGCTGCCTCCCCTTGGATATTAATTTCACACCCCATTATCAGAAAGATTCCCTGTGGACATGAAGTCAGTGAAGTAGCCAAGCAAATGAACTTACGCACACAGTTTCAGTAAAGACACCCACGATCCAACAGCATGGAAATGGTGAAATAAAGAAATATATACATAAGTATATAAATATCAGCAGACCAGACCAGACCAGACCAGAATCCTAATGAGGCACAACAATGAAAATGTCAAACGCTCTCTGGTTTCTACATAACTGCCACTTCAGGTCAGAAAATACAGATTAAAGCATAATGGAGTTAAAACAGATGCTGCCCCAGAATGTATTAGCAGCTTAGGTTTTAATGTCATGATTTCCATGTTTTTCATGCTCTGTTTATCAATAGAGAATTAGATTTACAGAAATGTTGCCAGTAACAAGGGCCAGCAAAGTATGCGAAACTAATACTTTCAAAGCATATTTTGTACCAACTCGAGTTTCCTGCAAAAATGTTTTGGGTTGAAAATTATGTGTTGAAAGGTTGGTGTAAAATGTGAACATAAAAAATAAAAAATAAAAAAAAAATAAATAAATAAAAATAAAAAAAAAATGTTTATTATTATTATTATTAAGCAAATATTACCACACAACATTATTAACAATATTTAGTTGTTAGTCAGTATTTAGTAATTTGTGCACAAATAAAATAAATAGATAAATAAATAAACTGCACTTGGGAGGGAAAGCTGCAATAAGCACATGATGCAGGTAATCACTAACCCATGAAGATGGGTGAATGTGAGGATCAATCCATCTCTTACAGAAACAGGCCCATGTGTCTTCCTGTCCATTCTGAAGTGACAAATGACAATGCTTTGGTTCAAGGAGAGAACAACTACACATTGCATTTGAATATTAATGTCTCTGAAGCTGAAGGGAATATACAATATACAGGGGTCATTTTACAACTGTGGCAGCTGCTGTCACTCATTTTTAGACTTAAAAAGTCAATGTACACAGTTCCCAGAGAAAACCGTATATGTTTTAAGACTGTATTATTTAATACAAATATTGTATTAAATCATTTATATAAAACAATTATTACTCATTGGGGAAACTCCATTATTTGAGGTTCCCATTAAAAGCGAATAGCAAAAAGTTCACTAGTATTGTTGAGTTTGTTTCTCAAACTTCCCAACTCCACTTCGGCTTCCAGTGCAATAACTCGATTGACGACGCATTTTAGACTCCAAATCCAAACCAAAATAAATATAAAAATCATATCTCTAAAAATCTAAGAGTAAAATAGCATCAGAAATAAAATATAAGACAACTATAAGACAAAACAAACAAACTCAAACACGCCAGCATCTGGGTCAGCACTTGCGCATGCGCCCCAGTTATAGGAAGAGATTTTAAGAAATTTAACATCACTTCCTCACCAGTGGATCCTCTGCAGTGAATGGGTGCCATCAGAATGAGAGTCCAAACAGCTGATGAAAAAATCTAAATAATAGAAAAGTAATCCACACCATTCCAGTCCATCAGTTAACATCTTGTGAAGCAAAAATCTGTACATTTGTAAGAAACAAATCCATATGGCATTACAGTGTTAAACCATTGCTTCTGGCCAAAATACAGGTCTAGAATCCATGATAATGTTTTCTCCAGTGAAAAAGTCCTTCCCCTGTTGTCTTCTCACATCAAAATCCACCAAAATATTTGTTCAGAACTGTTTTGGATTGTTTTTGCTTGTAAACGGTGCTTGATCTGTGCGTATTTCTCTTCTGATTCAGACGTGACGACTTTTTCACTGGAGAAAGTGACATTTTGCATAGAGTCGTATTTTAGCTGGGGGCAACGGTTTGAAATTATAAATGTCTTAAATATACAGGATTCATAGTGAGCAAGTGATGTCATGCTAAATTTCTTCAAATCTTTTCTAATGAGGAAATATACTCATCTACAGCTTGCCCTGAGGGTGAGTACATTTTTAGCAAATGTTTATGTTTTGGGTGAACTATTCGATTAAAGAGCATGGCACCATTGGTAAATTATTAGTTACTTTTTTTAAAATCACAATTATTTAGTGTTGCCTTGAATGAAACGACAATGAAGATACAATAATATAAATATAATACAATGAATGTAATTTTATTAGTGCTGTCAAACGATTAATCATGATTAATCGCATCCAAAATAAAAGTTTTTGTTTGCATAATATATGTGTGTTCCGTGTATATTTATTATGTATATATAAATACACACACATACAGTATATATTTTACAAATATTTACATGTATTTACATCTCTATATTTACATTCATATAATTTATATTATAACTAAATATATTTAATATATAAACATACCATATTTTCTGAAATATATACGTGCATGTGTGTGTATTTATATATACATAATAAATATACACAGCACACTTACATATATTATGTAAACGAAAACTTTTATATTGGATGCGATTAATCGCGATTAATCGTTTGACAGCACTAAATTATATGAATAAATATTTAACCCAGATTTCTGGATCTTAATATTTCTGTGACCTTGTATGACTGTAGTTAGAAATAAATTAGGTAAACTCAACAATCTGCATCAGCAGTTCATTTCAACTTGTGAAAGTTTCTTTGTGGATCTACAAAGTATCAAATGACAGGGCGATTTTTTTGGTTCCCAACTGAACTCTAAGAAGACCAAACACATTTTGTTTTGATTCTCTCCAAACCTATTATAAGCATGGTCCTAAATCATAAAATCATTGATGAAGGACTTTTAAGCAGCACCATCTCACTATCATCAGCCCAGTCAAATGACTGCGGGTGGAAAAAATCTATTTCAATCCCTTGCAGCTCTTCCCCAGGATTACTGAGCATCCTTCACCGCTGACTGCTCCACACAACATGCAGTCTAGAAGTAATTGCAGAAATATGCTGTTCAGCTTATTGTGTTTTGGGCTAAATACAAATCATTGACATGTTTGGCCATTCATTATGTCGTCTGGGATTATAGGTACCAGTGAAGCATGGTCAGACGGTGGAAACTCTGATAACCTACATGCAGTGAGACAAATGAAGGCGGCACTTCCCACCTATTACGTCTCCTTACAAAAAGAAACAAATGAGGCCTTGTGTTTTCTAATTATCACAGCACATGATTCAATGTCAGAGACAAATACTGCAGAACACTGGAAATGAACAATCATATTGGTTGGCTGAGGGGGGCAGGACTCAACGGTAATGGCGGACAGCAAATGATGGCCGCAGAGGATTTAGAGTCTTTCAGGCTGAAACAATCAGACAGTAGCGAGATGTGAACAGTCACTCAACACCCTCAAGAACTCACTTTCCCTCAGATTCCACATGCTGATGTTCTGCAATTCTGTTGATGATCAATACATACCTCAGGCTGCAACTTACTATTCACATTTATCTCTAACAGTCTTCCCAAATGCTTTGAGCAAGAAATTTCCATGATTTTCAGTCATTCATTACTACTGAATGAGCATTTCTAAATATCATTTTATACAGACTGCACTCAAGAAGAGCAATTTCTAGTCTGTGCAATATTTTAGAGCTGAGAATAACCCGAAACATACTGCATGTTCGAAGAACATTAAGCTAAGATTCCCATTAAGTTACGAAAACACTATTTTTGAATGTTCTCTAAACATTCAAAGCGTCCAGTTTTTTTCAATGTTTTAAAAACTTATTTTCTTGGTTATATGAATGTTAAGGGAATCATTTCATCATTTTGCAAACATTATGGGAACGTTACTTTTGAATGTGCTCTGAACCTTCTGAAACAAGTAGCAATATTGAAAAATAACTAAACTAAAATGTTTTAAAAAGAAAACATTCCATGAATGATGTATAGGCCTAAACTTTTTTGTGCTAATGTTTTAAGAAGATTATTAAAGACCAGATAACTTTGAACGAATGTTCTATTAGCATTACTGGAAAAAATGTTTGTTCATATCTTTAAAGGTGGGGTAAGTGATTTCTGGTAGCCAATGTTGATATTTCAAATCACCAAAACAAACACGCCCCTACCCCAAAAGGGTCTCGCCCCTATTTTGATAGCTCCGCCCCACACAACCGTACGCAACCCAGGCAAGGATTAGTTCTGTGAAACAAAAGCAAAACCAATGTTACACCATGTCTACACCGGGCGCGACAAAATAATATAGAACTCATTATAATCAGTGATGCTGTCTACACTGGATGCGGCGCGGCGCGGCGCGGCGCGACACGACAAATCCCAGACAGAAAACTGCTGCTGCTGTGTTCCATTTATGACGTATTGACACAAATTTCAAATGATTTTCAACAGTCGCTTTGTCGCGTCCAGCTGTTGCGGCACGGCGCGAGGCACGGTGTTACTCACCTATCGAGAAGAAACAAAGCAACCTCGGATTTTGGTACTCGGCCCAACTCAGTTTTCTAAAGCGTTTTTGAAAAAATACATACCCCACATTTAAGAGCCAAAGTTCTAAGAATGTTCCATGTTAGCTGAGAACGTTCACAACAGCTGTGGTTTCCCATCTAAAAATGGACCACAGGTACAATACTAAAAGCAAATGTAAAGGAAAAAATGCAGAGGTAGAAAAATAATTGAGCTTATCAGCTTTTAAAATGGAGAAGAAAACACTTCCCATATAATTTGATCCATACTTGGAAATGATTGACCTTAAAATAGATTTGTGTGCGGGAAACATGCAAATGATTCCTTTTTCCACCTGGTTGGTTTTAGTGAGGTTTTTGCCACTGAGCTTTCCCAAAAGCATTCATTTGAAGCAAACTTAGTAGAGGTGTTACCTTTCTGTCCACACATGCGACTGACCGGCCAGCCACGCGATTGGCAACGTCCCTATGTTCATTTATGTCATCGTTCAGGAGATCCTCAAACCGCCCATTACGAAACTTAAAGAGCTTGTCAGTGTACGTTGCTCTCCCTGCATGAAACGACATGAACAATTTACATGAAACTAACATCCATTTACTGTAACATTTCCTTCAAAGCCTCATTTATGAATCGGTTTCATACCTGAGAAGGCGTTATTAGTGTTAAGGACGTAAATTTCCTCTCTGCCATCACCATCTATGTCACATGCTGTCACTCCGATGGCATTGCCCTGTCGATCTCTGAGTGCATAATATGGAGAACTGCGGTTGTCAACCGCAATGTTAACAAGCCTCTTCTTAAACTTGTCATACTTCAACACCAGATTTGGGCCATTGTAGCTAAGAAGAAAAAAGGTAGAGCTATATATTAAGTTACATATTTCAAACAAATCAAGAAAAAGGGCCACAGCTTAAAATCCTTAATTGATATACCTTGTTCTGCAGTAAAACCTTTCATATAAAAAAATATTTAAATATTTAATACTATAAGGATAATAAATAGGCCTATTTAATATTAAAATGTAATATTTACTATAGTATAATCTACTTTAACATCCCATATTAATATCCCAAAATATCCCATCTGCTTTTTTTAAGCATGGTTGTTGTTAGATTTATGCTTAAAAATGCTTAAAACAAGAAAAAACAAAGCCAGTGGGATAGGATAAATAATTTAAATTAAAGATATATTCCCTGAAAACTCAACTCAAATAAAAACATGCCTTGAAGGATTAATATATAACCATATTCCATTTATTTGTCTCCAGTTTCCAACAAGGCACATCTTTGTTGGTGTATTTCACTGACCTGCAATCCCACAATTCCACCTCGACTGTCATTTAATGGAAGGAAAAACAGATTCTAGTTTCCCTAGAGATACGATTCTGTCAGTTACACAATTTCATTCTTGAGCACAACTCAAACAAAACAATGAGCTCTCCAATTACATCTATTTTCATCAACACAACTTCACAAAGATCCAAATCATTTCACAAATGGTTTACAAATAATCCCAATTAATTGCTTTGACATTTCTGTTTCTCTTAGAAAATATCACTTTTTCAAGCCACAAACTGAGGTAATGTTCTTGGCCAGTGTATCTGCTCTGTGTCAATATCGCAAAAATGTAAGCTCAATCAAACAGCACAAAAGCACCATATAACTTCTAGACACTGATAAAAGTATTTTCTCTAGAGAAACAATGTCATAAATGCTTCACTTCATTATTCTGCTGAAAACAGTGCATGTGATCTGAAGACTAGTACACTCACCCTGTCACAAACATCTCCAGATCTCCGTCTCCATCCACGTCAGTGACAGCCACGCCGTAGTTGAGCTGCGTAGGGTTATTCTCATAGTCCGGTGGGAAAACATTCTGAGTTACTGAGGCAAACATGGGTTCAGTTCGCTGACCCCAGGACAGTCCCAGGACAGACACACCCACAGTGAGCAGTAATATCCAAGCTGACATTGTCACCTGTGAAATTCATCAAGTTTTTAAAGAAAAAAACACAAGACAAGATCATAGTCATGCTCACCTCCCGATCTGTGAAAAATGCTTTCAAGGAGATTATGACTCACTGAAGTGAGAGGAACTGTAAAACATCCTGAACTGAGCCATACAATCGAGATATTCCACTTTCATTGAGTTTTAGGAGACTGAATTGCTTTCTACAGTGTTAACAGGCAATTACCTTCCCAGCATTACACTCACAGCACAGAGACATAAATACAGAGACTGCAGACATGTGACAGGTCAGAATGGACCAAATTAAGATCTGAGAGTAGAAGCCGTTTCACTGCACATGAGACAGACATTTAAGACGGCAAAATCCATATGTGACAAAGAGTATGAGGACATGATCTTTCTATCAATATATCCGTCTGTCCGTCAATATATCCATTTAAGTATCTGACGGTCTGTCTGTCTGTCTATCTATCTATCATTAAATCAAATTTGTTAAGAGAATGTAGAACTCACTTGCCCATTTATGACATATCCATTCAGCCACCCATCCATCTATCTGTCTATCTACATGTGAACATAAGTAAATGCAGGCACAGCCATAGACAACAATGCCTTAGTCCTAATTGTAACCCAAAAGTAAAAATTCTGCCTTAATTTACAAACCCACATATCTTTTTAGTGGAACACAAAAGTAGTTATTTACATTCTCAGAATGTTCTGGAAGGGTTATCTCAAACTTAAGAGCAAACATTTTTACAGTTGTTATTAGAATGTTCATTCAAATGTTTGGGTCTTTTTAATAATGTTCTCAAACAGTTAGAACAAAAACATTCTACATCATTTATGGAATGCTTTTCTGTAAGATTTTAGATGGACATCCGTCTAAGAAGTTTAGAGAACATTCAAAAGCAACATTCCTATAATGTTTGTTTGCGCAATTTCATTTTTTAGAGAACATTCAGAAATAACGTTTCCATAACTTAATGGAAATATCCATACAATGAAAGTGGTAAAGGAGCAAGATTTTCAAGTTGATAAGCAACTTAATTGTAAGTCTGTTCCTTACACAAAAATATCCTATGTCAGAGGAATATTTGTATGGGCTACTTTTATGGGGCTTTTGGGAGCTTGATCGTCTGGGTCCCCATTCATTTTCAATGTATGGAAGAGAACAGCTTGGACATTCTGCTAAAGATCTTCTTTGGTGTTGTATGTAGAAAGTCAGGTTTGAAATGACATGAGGGTGAGTAAATAATAACAATAATAAAAACAGAGAAGGTACTGGTAATTATCTGCCAGGACATTTTCAGTTAATTTACAGACATTTAATTTAACCCTAAAACACAACTAAATGCAACGCGTAATTCAAAATATGGGTAAAACACCTGTGAAAATTCAGTACGGATAATTCCTTTATATTAACACAATACATTGGGCCCTATTTTTACAAAGGCCCATTCACACCAGGGAAAATAACTATAATGATAACGATATAGTTTTATCGTTCTGAGTGTAAAAGAACAGCAGAGTCCAACCAGAACTATAACAATAATGGCACAGAGGAATGATATCATTGGAATCACTTTAAAAAAAAATTGTTCTAGCTGATGAACGATGAAACATCGACAGCCAATCAGTGTCTACATTTAAAGAGCTTGAGCATTTAAAGTGGCAGACAACAAAATTGCAGTGCTTATATGAAACAGAACATTACTATGTTTTGGTGTAGACACTAATATAGTTAATATATATAATTTTCTTTCTCAGTTTAGAATGTAGGGGAAAGCCAAAATATGGATTCCAACAAAGCCATATGTGCAGTATGTTACAAAGTAAGAGAGATGACATGCTGGTGAGAAACACAAAGTGGAGATAGATGAGTGTATGTGTTTGCAGCAACAATTTCAGGAATATGCATGTCTCTGCTCCACTAATCAACCCATTGAACTCTAACATCAAAGCCATGTAATTAATTTAGATTAAGGTTGTCTTAATATATGCTCCGCTGTTTGAGATGAAAGTGTAATCAAAGCACTCAAATAAGCATTGTATTAGTCATATACTGGGCCAAAGGTTTGAGCAGAGTGATAATTTTAGTGTTGTTGACAGAATGTACATAGCCAGACTGATTAAAGGCCTAAGCAGAGGTTGTCAGTTTGTTCTATCCTGTCCTATATTACTAGCATTACCCCTTTCGTATTAATAACTCAGTGCAAAACAGCCGGCGCAAAAACAGTAAAAGCAGAGTAAACATGTAATTTTATTGTAATTCATTTAGTGTTTATAGCTTTAACATTCCAAACGGCTGGATAAGGGCAGTGGAACACCAGTGCTCGGAGAGTACCGTATGTACTGTCATCTGTCATCGTAATATGATGATGTAAAAGCTTTTCGGATGAGGTGAGAGCTGGACGTGTTCCAAACTAAAAAGTCTTCACAGCTACGGGGTCATAAATCCAGACACAGACAGGCAGAGGAACCACAAGAAGAGGTGAATCTGTCCTTGCAGCAGCTAGAATTGATGCGATCAGCTTCATCTCACTGCAGCTATCATCATACAACACACTTACTGCAGTTACAACAGAGATGTTAGATGATATGCATTATGATCTCATATGAACATTTCTCCCTGTATGTTAAAACTACTAAATCAAAGTTTGTAATTTCATATACATAAACAATATCATATATATTTACAATGTTTAATACTAAACTGTAAACTCTCGTTGCCTGTGACCTTCGCCTTGTAAGTAATATTTACTCTCATCTTGAGTGTGTACTCATGCATTTCTGGTCTCTGATCGGACTGCGACAAACATCAGCACAGCCAGTCCCTCAAGCATCTCTCATCTTACAACAAGACACTGCTTTAAAGTAAACTTAGAGAAAACATACAGCTTCTCATCTTTAAAAGTAAGAAAAAATCTGGGTCTAAATGAAGGTGATGGGGGTTTCCTGAATTGAATAAAGTTTCAAAATATGGTTAACAAAAAATAATGAAATAGATCTGAAAATAAACTAATATAAATAGTAATAATAGTACTCCACCTACTACTACTAATACGAATTGTTATTATTATTAATAATAATAATAGTGATGATATTGTTAGTATTATTATCATCATCATTATTATTAAAGCACGCATGCAATTCATCCTTGAAACTATGCTGGAAACAAATGAAAAACATTCTTGTGATGTTTCGTGTTTGTTTAAAAGTCTTAACATCCGATGAGCAGAACAAGTGAAGCAAATAAAGAAAAATATGAAAGAGCAAATGGACCTGAAGCCGAGCATTCTCTTATGATCTCCCGACTATTTATCAATACACTTGTCTCGTCTCATCTGATCGGCTGAGAACATTTAATTAGATGCGCAGTGAAAAATCAGATCAAAGGAGCCGCTTTAACTTCAAAGACGCTGCGGCAAACATAAAAGCACCGGTACTTACATGAATGAAAGTCCAGCGCCTCTCATAAATGACTTCCCTCCTCATAGATTAAGAGATTCCCTGTGGACCTTGAGTATGTCTCTTAGTGATTTTACACAACTTCCCAAGAATTTGTTTATGAAATCAGCTGTGTAAGAATCCATCCAATTACAAGCCCCTGCTGTGAATATTTAAAAGTGGCAGCCAATGCCTGCGTTGGAGGGCGGAGCTATGCGTGCTGAATGACGCTTACCTGAGGCTTCCTACTTAATAATTCATAAACACGGGTTTAACGCACAGTACATTAACTTATTTTCATGAATTTAAATCATTTTAATATTCAAAATATTTTCAAATTGAATAACCAATAGCCTACACATAAAGAAAAAGAATAACTTAATCTGTTACTTTGATAAATAAGCTATCTTACATTATGTGCATTCAACCATATTCTTTAAAAAGAGCTCTTTTTAATTAAAGTAATGATTGCCACTCTGATCATATAACCATTTTATGAGGACATTTTATGGATCCATGCCATTTATAGTAAAGTGATGGCTCATCTACTGTCTTGGACACTGGCAGAAGTCCATCTTCCCAATCCTTTTTTCCCACTGGTTTAACAAATGTTCATTAGCAACACCTCATACAGCAACACAGAAACCTCAGGCTAACATTTAAACTTACAATCTCACAAACAAGCTAGAAATACATCTTTAAATGAGGTCACATCAAAAGGAATCAAATGTTACTTGATCTTTTGAGATAAAAGGATTTTACTATGAAAACATACTGCACCCTAGATCTCAAAACTTCCTCCTTAGTCCAAAAAAGTTCATTATCGACAGCTGAAAAACTCTCACTCCGAAAACCCTGGATTTCTGATGTTAGAAACCTGAAATGTTAAGATATGACCGCCACATTTACAGTATGTCCATCTTCTTCAAAGCAATGGGGACTTGTTTCACACTGAAGGGGTGATATTCTGTGATAATCACTGGCTGAATGTACTTTGTCCCTCTTAGTGCCAAATAAATAATACATAAGCATGAAATATTGATTTGTGTTGAAATTATTTTATTAGTTTACTTATACAGACGATGGAGAGGATACAAGGACAGCTATATAAGAAACACTGGTTTGTGCTGCCCTGGACAACTGTCATTTTTTCAGAAATATCTGACCACTAAATGCAGCGATTCACCAATCACAATCAAGCATTCCTGTGTAAAAAAAAAAATAAGCCTAAACACCAGAAGAACCAGTGAAAAGTAAACAATGGAAAATGTATCAAACCTTGAGCTGCTCCAGGATGTGTATAGCACACGCTGCTCTGAATATCCTTCTGATAGATCCCAATGTTAGGAAAAAGAGGTTGAAGTTTGTTTTCAACAGGACCCACAATTATTTCACTCTAATCTTAACAGTTTGTGTGGCACATTTCACAATAACAGGCACATGTTGTTAGCATGCTAGACAAATGCAGCTGTTCTTACTAACACAACTGTAGAACATGCAAGAAAGGAAAAATCATTCTGTTGGCATTTGTCAAGTAACAGATTTTTACATTAAAG